TATAAATATATACTTGGGGCCGAGTTGACTTCGGGTTGAGTTGATAGGGGGTTGATTCGGCAATTCGACAGTACACTTGGAGATTTTGTGAAACAAAATAACAGTATATTAGGCTACCATCAGCTAGTGACGTCAAGTGAACATCAGGTTATACAGTAGTGGGTGGATTCAACAATTTTTAAAATTATATTTTAAAATGGGAGAATAAAATTAGTTTAAAATACTATTTAATTTATTTATTTATTAATTACTGTAATTTATTTATTTTTTATTTATTAATTATTATTTTTATTTATTTACTAATTAATTAATTTATTTATTTATATAATGGACTTTGAGTTCCATTTTTACTGGTTAATTTATATGTGCAGTCAGCACCAGCAATTGTTGGGCTGAGTGGTCGGGATGTGTAAATTTTACAGTACCTTCCTAAGCCCCCTCTATTTTGAATTTCTGAATTGACAAATCCTCATCGTCTATATTTTTTCTAGAAGGCTTTGATGTAATCAACTAACTAAAGTAGTACCATCCTCTTTAAAATTCACATGATCACACTATATTATGAAATGCTTTATACAATAATCCACGCTAACAGACGGGTGAAAGTGAAAGCATTGAAAATGACAAAATGCTTACAAATGTTTTTGTAAGGTTTGAGTACAAAGTACTGTACTGTATCATGCTGAGAGCTGTTAGAACATAAACTCGATTTAATATTGACAATTTTTGTTATGGAAATGTATAACAGAGGGGGAGGAATTATTAAGAGTTGTATATTGTAGTCTACCAGCAGTGGGAAGAGGTACACATGATAGAATAGCTTGGCAGTAATTTACTTATTATATTATAAGTATTGACCACACTTGACAGGGTGACCCCCAAATCTAATTAACATACAACAGGGCTTTGCCAAAACATTAAAAAAAGCTTGGCACATTTTGCTACAAAATGAAATTATGGTGGACCTGGGCTTAGGGCACATAGAAAAAATTATTAGATTATTAATCTTTTTTTTAAATTGATGAGGGAGGGCAATTTTTTTTTTCTCTTTTTTTTAAATCGGATCAATAGATTATTTCGCTTTCGTTTTTATCGATGAGGGAGGGATTTGGTCTGTAATAATAAATATTGTATAAAAACTGGTTTAATTTTATAGATTTTTAAAGAAAATGTATTTGAAGTCACAAAATTGCATTGTTATTTTTATGCTGTTGAAATAATTGATGCAGCAAAATTTTTTTTTAATTCCCGCATCAATATTTCTCGAATTTTTGACACAGACGGGAGCGATATTGTAATAACATTTTTCTATTTTCCCTCATGTAAATTATTATACTGGTAATACAGTATTACTAAAAGTAAAATAAGAAAAACAAAATAGAGTATCTTGATAACTCCTTATACTTTTCTATCATATGTATTTTTTAAGTATTTATTTTGTAACCTTTATTTTGTAAATTCATTTATGGCAATACTGTAACACGTTGACTGAAAGACCTTTTTAAGGTTCCTTCCCCTGTGCCAAAACAAGTTTACATTGTATAAACATACTTTTTTGAAATTTTGTCTAGTCATACAGTATATCATCAAAATGATGTGTATCTTCCCCAAACTACCATCTGTTAAGTCTGTGGTTCTACAACGTAGTATAATAAATGCTAAAATGTTGTATTCGTCCCTGGCGCCCTCAGAAACACCCTATGGGATGAGTATACTCGTCACTGGCAGCCACCATTTTAGTTTATAATAGTTTATATTTTTTTATCATTTGTTTTTGGTAAATGAATTTCATGTGTTTTATGAACTTGTATAAACATACTGTATAACAAATAAAAGAAATCTTAAATAAGACAGACTCAATATCATCATCTTATTCAAAAGAAAAACAACAAAAATATATCCATTGGAAAATTACGTTATATATAAATTTATGAAAACACAATTTTTTCATTATGAAAACTTGTGTTATACAGTAATTTTTTTTTCATAACATCAAGTACCTTGATAGCTGGATGAAAATATGAGGTACCAAGGGAATGAAATTTTGTTTTTGTTTGATCACTGTTAAAATACTTGTACTACAGTACTGGTGCAAAAAATACTGTAAATCAGTATACAATTGCAATAACAATGGTAGCTGAAACAATGACTAATAACTTCAGGGATAATTTAAAATGAAACAATAATTAAAACCGTTCAGTGGGAAAACAATGAAAGCAACAACACAGCAATAAGCTCAGAGACTTTGGACCCCTCATCATAAAATATCTGGTGCCGTGAATAGTTTTACATGAATGAGTTACGCTCTTGTATAGTATAATTATTTATAAAGCCTTCACTATCAAATATTATTTGACAAAAAACTATTGTATGCATATATATATTCATGATGTGCCTATATATGGTCATGATTTGATGTCATCATGACCATATTTAGGCAAGTCACACGTTTTTTCAAATAGAATTTGATAGTCTGGACAGGGCTTTATATTACATTATGTTATAATTTGGTAGATTGTGTGAATTTACAATAGTACTCTTAGGCTACGTTCAGGTTTGAGTTAAGCCTGGCTCAAGGCTAAGCCCGGCTCAACGCTAAGCCCGGCTTAACTTTGGCAGGCATTCAGACTAGCGGGATTAGCCAGGGGGGAGAATTTTCAATATAATTAACTGTAACCATCAAACATGTTTCAAAACATTGCTCGCGAAACGTACTCGCTCACAGCATAAGTAATTAAATGCTGATTGGTCATTTTGTTACCTGAAGTCAATGCAAGACCTCCCGCAACGATTAAAGCTTGGCTTAAAAAAGTTAAAGACGGTGGCACGCCAGGCCTAGTTACAATAGGAACACAGCCCGGCTTGAGATAAGCCACCTGGTTCAGACTGGCATGTGGATAAACATGGTGAGTTGAGCCGGGTTTATCCACCCAGTCTGAGCTAGGCCTTTCAGTATATAATTTGATGACTGAAAAATTCTCAAAGTTTCAGATAGCTTGCAAGCGCACCAAAATTAGCTTGAAATACTGTACATACCTTGGCAAACTGGCTTAATATATCACCGCTTTTCACTTGCGTGTCCTCTCTCATTAATGAAAGACTCTGGAGAATCTGTGCCACCTGCACCAGATTGAACCTGGCAACTTCACTAATTAGGATGTCCGATGCAACTCCGTATGGTTCCGGATTTACAATAGCCGGGCAGATGAAACAAGTCAATAAAAGATCCCCACACATTGCACGGACCTCCGTTTGGTCAACTTTTCCGGAACGAATCAAAATTTTGTAAAACTGACTTATTAGCCAATCAAGACTCTGAGGAAAGCAGAACATACTGTTTTTTAAGCTGGATATAAATTTATTACAAAGTGCTACAAGTTGATGCCCAACACGATCTATATATTCTTGAAGTTTTGTAGTATACGTTGGGCTGTTCTTTGGGCCGAACAACTTTAGATGTTCTTCATTGCTCAAATGATCAAGCATTTTTCTAGTGTCCGTTTCAAAGTAGGTATCGTTTTCCATAAGTAACGCCATGACTGGCTCATGAAGCGCAGCAGTGAGATACAGCTTCCCCGAGAATAATCCTTCGGTGAAGAGCCGCATAGCGTGACTGAATGCGCAAGAGCCACGCCTCAATAAACGCCGTGGGTCATCACTGCTCGCTAGCTCAAACTCCATCAGAGATTGTAAAAGCTGGAGGACACGGCGTTCATCTTCTTGAATGACAGCATTCCCATAAACCGATGACATGAGATTATGCACAAGACACTGAATCCCAGTTGGATATTCACGCTCACCTTGGGCCAAGCACATGCCCACGATTTTCGGATTGTCTTTCAAACAACATAAGAACTCTCCATATACTGTATCTTGGAAGCCAAGTTTTTTATAGCCGTCGACAAAGCCAACCTCTTCCAAGGCATTGGCACGATGACAACATGCTGCTGGTGGAGAATCAACGTTAGCTAAAATCAAACTGTTAAGTGTCTGCCTCTGATGCCGTGCAATCCAAGAGACACGGTAGAGCTTATCCGCCAGCTGTGTCACCTCTTCGTGAAGCTTCTGAAGTAGATGCTTCTCGGAGGACACATATAATCTCTCCTGCTTTAGATGGCGCGCTAATTCTAGCAGATCTAGATTCATCATTGTGGCACAGTAGAATTCACAGAGAAGAAGCTATGGGTTTGGTGTCATAGTTAATGACATAGCAAGTTCACCTGAAATAACAATATTTACAGTAAGTTAGTTCCCTATGTTTTAAAATAACATGTATTGAAACTAAAACAATTCAACAATATGAAACAATAACATGGTTGCTTGGATTTTTATCATGCTGTTACATCTTTTTCTCAGTTTCTGATGTTAAAATGTTCATTTTTTGTAAAATGAAATGGCTATAATCATCATCATTAATGCCTCTTATCTTGTGACATTTTTTTCCCCATTAGTTGTGTTTTGCTTTCAATGAATACAATTAAATTAACAAAAAAATGACATTAATATTCACAGTAAACAAAAAACCAGAGCCTTGTAGGTGTCAACGTTCCAATGCATGATACTTAAAAAGTGTATAAGATGTGTATAAGAGCCAGGCATATATATATTCATGATGTGCCTATATATGGTCATGATTTGATGTCATCATGACCATATTTAGGCAAGTCACACGTTTTTTCAAATAGAATTTGATAGTCTGGACAGGGCTTTATATTACATTATGTTATAATTTGGTAGATTGTGTGAATTTACAATAGTACTCTTAGGCTACGTTCAGGTTTGAGTTAAGCCTGGCTCAAGGCTAAGCCCGGCTCAACGCTAAGCCCGGCTTAACTTTGGCAGGCATTCAGACTAGCGGGATTAGCCAGGGGGGAGAATTTTCAATATAATTAACTGTAACCATCAAACATGTTTCAAAACATCGCTCGCGAAACGTACTCGCTCACAGCATAAGTAATTAAATGCTGATTGGTCATGTTTTGAAAGCTTAATGCAGTCACTATAACAATATTCAAATTTCACAAATTTCGACTTCTGGAGGAATTCAAAATCCACCCACTCCTGTGTTGGAACCCATTATTATTTCTTTATACAAGTATATATACACACACCCACCCACACACATACATACATCTAATAGCTAAAGTGTTCAGCTACCCCTCTGAACCCCATCTTATCGGACGGAGACACCTCCTCCCAAACCTAGCCTCCGCAGACACTTGGAGGCAATTTACACATATACCTATAGCCCCACCTAACCAAAACTTCTGTATCTGCCCCTGCATGTGGTAATGTAATTCGACAGGCAAATTACAGTAATATTTTTAGCAAATTTCTTTGAAAAAATTTAATAGGCATAGGGCCTAGGCCTAGCTAGGTATACAGTAATTTCATTTTACAGTAGTTTGGAACGATATCAGGAGTGGGGGTGGTGGCAGTGGCCTGCTAGGAATACAATTTATTTGAAGCTATTTTGGGTCAGATCGTCCACACCAGTTGGGCTCAATCGTCTGTCACCCGAAGTTTTCATTACGATGATCAAGAACGTATACTATCTAGGCCCTAGGCTAGGCTTAGATTGCTGCCGTCACTCTGCTACGTATACTACTACCGCATAACAAAGAAAGCGACCCACGCGGTGCATTCTTAAATTTTACACACATTATTAAAATGTATTAGACGATAACACGATATCACTGACTGAACGACCTACCAACCTCGCTCGCATCGCAGTAACTACTGTACTGAACTAGCCCTAGCTTTTATGGAACGCCGTTTAATCTTCGGTTATGTGCAAACACTCTATTATGTACAATCGCCATGACGTTATGTGGAATGGTCATAACGTTATGTGGTTTGGTCATTATGTTATGTGGTTTGGTCATTATGTTATGTGGTTTGGTCATTATTTTATGTGGTTTGGTCATTATGTTATGTGGTTTGGTCATTATGTTATGTGGTTTGGTCATGATGTTATGTGGTTTCTCATTATGTTATGTGGTTTGGTCATGATGTTATGTGATTTGCTCATTATGTTATGTAATTTGCACATTATGTTATGTAGTTTCGACATGACGTTCGGACGTCCGTGCGAGTATGTGAAGAAGTGTAAATAAGAAGACAGCTGTACAAGTAAGCCTATATCAAGTTTCATTTGAAAATTTTGATTGGCCAAGAGCGAGCGGGAAGACTACACTAGTTTTATTACCACCGTGCCAGAGTTTTATTTCATACAAGCAAAGAGTATATAACAGATGAGAGCCCACTGCTATTCGTAATACACGCGAGTCAGCGTGACGCCCGATCCGCTGTATGGGGCAAACGCCCTTAGCGTCTGTTGTGGATGCATGAGTGATGGCAGCATATAAAAACAGTAATTTAAGACCAGTATTTGGTCCATAAAGTCTAATTATTATATCCATTTTTAAACGAAAATATAAAGGCAAGACTTTATAAGAATAACATTATTGGAAAATATGCTATATATTTTGTGGGTTTTTAGAAAGTTTACTTTAAATCACGCTAGTATTTTGAATGTTGATAAAAGAAAAAGCCTGGGAGTTTATAAGAAAAATAATATTAATAGGCCTTCCTATACTAGAAGACGACTATTCATTATAAACTTTCATCCATCCATGCATTGGTATTCGGCATATGTAATTCTTATTAAATGAGAACATGTATATAGTTAATGAAGTGTTTGCTTTGATTATGACTATGTTCTCCAGCCCTTCCTCAGTCTGGTATGCTATATATTTTGTGGGTTTTTAGAAAGTTTACTTTAAATCACGCTAGTATTTTGAATGTTGATAAAAGAAAAAGCCTGGGAGTTTATAAGAAAAATAATATTTAATAGGCCTTCCTATACTAGAAGACGACTATTCATTATAAACTTTCATCCATCCATGCATTGGTATTCGGCATATGTAATTCTTATTAAATGAGAACATATAGTTAATGAAGTGTTTGCTTTGATTATGACTATGTTCTCCAGCCCTTCCTCAGTCTGGTATGTAAATATAACGTTTTCTCTTCAGTCAAACAAATTAATGTATAAAACAGTACTTAGTAAAAAAAAAAAAAAATCGGAACCACCAAAGTAACTTTCAAAAGATTGTACTTTATTTAGTATTTTTCCACACGAACTTCAAATACTTTCACAAGCAAATGAGAGTTAAGTAATGATGAGGAAAACATCCATCTTGATATACCTTAAAATCCCGGATTTACATGATAAATGAGAAAAAAAAATCATCTATCCAACTGTTAGTGACCCAGGCACTGTCATAATAATCAGGGGTGGATCCAGGATTTGAAAGAGGGTGCTTCAAAATGAAAAATTTTGATTCCTAGGCCGGAAATAAGATTTTTTTTAATGACCTTTAAGTTCTTCAAAATTCAAGGTTTTTCTCCTCTGGAAAAGATCAGTAAGTAACTTTATTGCTTCTCTTAAATAACAGATGCACAACCATATAAGATGAGCAACAATAACAAAATCAGTATAAACTCAATTACTTAGAAAGTACTTAATTTTATCTCATTCTTCAGGCCTCTATATAGAGAAAAAAAGAAAAAGACATAGTCAGTGGATTTCCTGCACGATTAAAAATCGTAACAGTACCGGGTTTGGTCTACAAGAGTTCGTGCTTCGAACAGGTCATTCCATTCATAGCAAATACCTTTTGATGGAGAAAGTGTACCTTTTTATCAAGGTTTGCCTAATTCGAAACTAACTTCGGCTATATAAAATTGATTAGCCAATCAAAAGTTTCAAATGAAACTTGATATAGGCTTACTTGTATAGCCGTCTTCTTATTCACACTTCTTCACATATTCTGCAAGGACGTCCGAACGTCGTGTCGAAACTACATAAGATAATGTGCAAACCACATAACATAATGAGCAAACCACATAACATCATGACCAAACTACATAACATCATGATCAAACCACATAACATAATGAGAAACCACATAACATAATGACCAAACCACATAACATAATTAGAAACCACATAAAATCATGACCAAACCACATAACATAATGACCAATCCACATAAAATAATGACCAAACCACATAACATAATGACCAAACCACATAACGTCATGACCATTCAACATAACGTCATGGCGATTGCACATACAGTAATAGAGTGTTTGCACATAACCGAAGATACTAACGGTGTTCCATAAGCTTAAGCCTCATGTTTTTGTGGAAAGCAGAGTATAAACAACTAGAGTGCTGACAAGATGGCGAAGCAATGCAGGGTTGTGTACAGTATGTGTACCATCCAAGATGGCCGCCGTAGGAAAGCGCCACCTTCAGGCTTAGTATACATACTATTACCATAAATAAGCCCTCTGACTGACTATTATTTCATTTAATGATAATTAGTATTGATAATAACAAATTATTAAACTATCGTAGTCAAAAAGAGGCCAAGTAGAGCATTTTATTAAAAAATAAATAAATAAATAAAATTGTGTACTGTACATTACACCCATTCACCGCAACGCTCGAGTTTCAAACATACGGGTAACTAGCTGTACTGAACTTTCTGTGTAAACTGAGGGCGCCATTGAAAATGATAGCGCTTAGGCGAAATTTGATTGGCTAAATCTATGGCAGCCATCTTGGATGGTACACACACACAGCTCTGCGTATTTCGAACATCGAATACTTTGCAGTTAGCGCTCTAGTATTCTTATTATATCTCTATGGTGGAAAGTTAGATAGTTGTCATGTACCCGACAGTTGGCTGCCTTTATATCTTCACTTGTCTTCAATTTGCATTCAAAGGGTACATTGCTGCATAGCCAACTGTCGGGGATATTGTACCTTCATATGACTACTCACACAACAGAAAAAAACGTCACATGGAGTTAGTGAAAAATGGAGATCTAAATGAAAAAACGATGTATTTCAGCAAGTATTTTTGTTTTATTTTTGGCCTTCTTCAAAATACCTATGCCACACTAGTTGATTTTTTTTGCCGTAAAACCAAAATAGTTTCATCCATGCCGACTTGCCAATCGGTTAGCGTGAGCCCTGACTGAACTCTGCAGAAACTTCACATCGAACTCGCATCGCGAGGTAAAACAAAATGTCGGAAAACTTTTTCCTTTGACGCATGCGCATTTGCATAAATGTCTACACACACACGCACACACACACACTACACACAATAAAAAACAAAGGAAAATGAAGAGTGATTACAAT